AATATTTCATGAATATTATATGATAGTGATTATCTTAAATATACACTTATTCGGCAATAACCCTACATAGCTGTTTTTCTAAAACGAACTTTTTCTTTCTAAGCCTTTTCTATACTCGACGTCTTTTACCAAAGTACTAAGGGGTTTTATTAAAATTAGTTTTTTTTCGCTTTTTTGCTGTTTTGACCATATGTACACCAATGTGAAGCATATTTAAATTTTTTCTTTGTAGATGGGTATATGTACCTTGTTAATAATCTATTAAGTATCAGAAGATCAAATTTGAGGAACAATTACCCTTAAAAGATAACAATAACCTTTATACACACACACCTGTATGTATGTATGTATGTATGTATATTCGTAACTTTTAGAATGTTCACCCCAAAATAATTTTTGATTTCAAGCAAAACAAATACAAACAAACTTATATGTATTCCAGTATATTAGGAACGATTACTTATTTATAGATACGCTACTGGTTGGAAGCGCTCACTGATGTGGAAAGTTGAATCCATTGTGTTGAACACAATAGACCAATCTCAACTGTACAAGGGCAAGGGCCAATGTATACATAGCAACACGGGCTAGTCTTAGTTTTACAACAAGTAGTTTACAACAGACTTCACATCGGAGTACTAAACTTGCAAAATTATTTCTACCAAAGATTTCGCAACCTTTAGACATGCAGATGTGTCTAAAAAGAAGCAGATCAATGACTAATGTGGTAAAATTCATATAAGCCTTATTAATAACTAACTGTTAGTGTAATCACTACACCCAATATGACTTTCGTTCAAGTTATTCCGAAGTTTGTCGCTTTAGTAATTTACCATTTTTTCCAGCAGATAAGATGACCTTTAGTTTAAAAAGTTTGAAAATATCAGTGTAAAGCCAGTGTAAGTCAGTGGCGTATCCAGGGGGGGGGGGGTTAGGGTTTCAAACCCCTTCCTTGACCTTAAAACTTGAATTTTTACATTCACACTTTTTTATAAAATCAAAAAAATCACTTTTATATGTCTCTAAATAGCCTATTAACGAAAGTTAATAGGTCTAATTTTTAAATATTTGAAAACCCCGAAAAGACCTCAATACCCCCTAGAACCCCGGTGTAACTCCCCCTCCCCCCACTCAGAGTCATTATAATTAAGCATATGGATAAGTTTACCAAGATGTCTAATAAAAAAGGAAATTGTTTGTTTTAAATGCTCGAAATAAAATATAATAACTTATTCAAACCTATTAATTTAAATTCTAAAAAAGTCATGAACAATATATGATGCCTAAGTTATTTGAGGCAGGATTTTTAGCTATTATATTTTAGTTTATTTAGTTATTTTACTATGTAGTATGTATACGTTGATTATATTACAACAAACGATTTGACTTTGGTGTTTATAACTGACTAGCTGTACCCGCGGGCTTTGCCCCGTTTAACTTCTTAATTTTCAAGATAAGCTCGTTCGCATGGTTCAATCCCGTCCTGGTTGAAGTTCGTTCGCTACTCTCACTCACTTTTAAGTTGGAGCTCGTTCGCTGCGCTCACTTGCCGTCAGGTTAGCTCGTTCGCCACACTAACTCGCCTCCAGGTTGAAGTTCGTTCGCTACGCTCACTCACCTTTTGGTTGGAAATTAGCTGTTGTCATAAATAAAAAAGAATTATAGTGCTGCACCCTGTTGGTAATCCTTGTAACTTTAATGCTATTGCACATCATAGAACAGAACCAACTTGTTTAATTGAAACAGCTGTTAAGATTAATTAATTCCATTTAAATATGAGTACTCATAAGGTTAACATGGGAAACTCCAGAGCCACTGGGGCGGAGCCCGAGAGTCCGATCAGAATAAAAACTACTTAGTTTTCCTATTTAATGCCTAAAGAATCAGTGTACCAAATTTCAGCCTCCTAGGTAAATGGGAAGTGGGAGAATTAGTGATGAGTGAGTGAGTGAGTCAGTCAGTCAGTCAGTCAGTCAGTCAGTCAGTGAGGGCTTTGCCTTTTATATATATAGATATAGTCCTAAACTAATTGATTTAAAATACTTCAACAACCTACTGTGATGTTGTAAGTCTCGAAGACGAAATTCAAAACCATTTAATTTAATCACACATAGAACTATCCACACCCCTTTTTCAAAGTAAAATATGTCCATGCCAATTCACACTGCTAAAAAATACATTACAAATCATCCAACTAGTCTAATCTATATTTATTTTACTAAGTTAACACAAATGGTGTACACTAATTTTCAATTGACTTATTTTTAATAATGGCGTATCAATTTTAGGATTCCTTAAGAATATGTATCTGAACATAAAGACAAGTTTTGTTTGATACATGTCATACATTTTGAGTGTAAATCAAGCCTCACAGCGGGTAACTGCAATGGCCGCTAGTAGTGTATATATTGCATAATGTCATGCATGTCATACCTGTTTCCGTCTTGTCGCCTTATCATTGACCTGACATACGGCCAGTGTTATCTCTAATGTAACCTGTTATACATATCATAAGTACCTGAATGTCAGTCCTAATACGGAATGAATTATAAACCAACAAGAACTTAAATTTGGAATATTTATGACATGTCGTTTTAAAAGTCATTATATAAATTTTTTCACAGAAAAAATGTAAAAAAAATACACTAAACGAAGACTAAGAACAGGTACTTGATTAAATAAATTACCAAATTGTTAATCGTGTGTAAAAAATGTCCCTAAAAGTTATTCATGCTGTAACTTAATTTAAAAACTGTTACTGTATTTCAAAATTTACCCCTTAACCATTGAATATTTAGTTTAAGATTTTTTTTACACGATGAATTTGAAAAAATAAATAAATTTAGGTGAATTATACCAATATACAAGACAAAAACATGAAGCAACAGGTAAAAGGCATTGTATTCATTATTGTTAAAAGGCTTTGAACAAATATTCAATGAGATGCCAAAGCAAATTAATTTTATATTGCCATACTTGCCATTTAGGAAAGTAAGAAGGATGCCAACTTTTATCCATTAAATACCATGTCTTTTTTAATAGGTTACTTTTTAGATTTTTTTATTAATAATCTAAATATTTTCTGATTAGGAGGATGAATAAGGCAGATGAATATTTATGTGTTTTCAGACACACAAAGAGGATAAGTGAGGCATTTTTATGTGTTTTTAGAATCGTGTGCATGTGTATACCCTGAGTGTTCCTATTAGTTTTCGACTAATCAAAAACCTCCTTTCTCAGTTTGATTCCTGTATTTACTATGTTATTTACTAAGTATTTACTACAAGTAGGCAATACTCTTAATGATAGATTTCGTATCGATTGTTTTTAAATCAGAAGAATGGTGACGTTCATAATCATAATTACATCATCACGTTATCATCTTCAGTATTGCAAATTTTCTGTATTGCTCAACACAATAACTTTTTTATTGCGACTTAGTCCCACAAATAAATATTACAGTAATAAACCTCTTTCTAAAAAAAAAAAATAAAAAAATAAACAATACACTCTTCCATAATATTTACAGAAATTGTTTTTACAGTGTAAGTAAGTGTCAAGTGATAAAATGAACCTAAGACGCTGTGAGTTTCAAATGAAGGTAATTTAGGAGTTCTGTGGTAATGATAAGACTCGAATGGCGCACTTGGGCCCTCTGTAATCTCACAACTAACGAGCCTCATTGATAAAATACTCACTTGATTAAAGTCATACCCAAAATAATCCTAAGGGGTAAAATAATTAAATTACATTCATCTTGAAGATGATAAGGTGTTTCAAAATTTAGTATGATTTTGCAAGCAAATGTAATATGATTAACAAGGTTGTGATATATTGCAATAGCACGTAACTAATAAAATATTTTCATGTTTTGAAACTAGTGTTATTCATACTGTTTTAAATAGTGTCATTGACTATTAGTCAAAGATAGTATCTATGTTGTATTTTGATTGAGGAAATAACTTGCTCAATGAAGAAATATTCTTATTCAAAATGATTTAAATAAATTGGAGAATTTTCGTCAATTTTAATAATCTAAAAATATTAGTTACTGGTAAAAAGATGTAGGGAGAAATGTCTTTGAAGAAAAATCAAATACTTTAATAACTACTTATATGTTTGTATATTATATCATATTATACTATTTTTATAAATAGATGTGAATGTTTGTTTGAAATTCAATCATGCATTAACAAGTGGTTGGATTGGGCACATTGCCAAATAACATATAGACATATTCTTATCACAAAAATCCTTTCGGGCTCCACTCCAGTCACTATGTATTTTCTCATTTTAACCTTATGAGTATTCATATTTAAAAGGAATTAACGCACCTTAACGACTGTTTCAACTAAAGAAGTTCATTTCCATGGTGTTCAGTAGCAAAGAGCTACTAGATTTACCAAAAGGGTGCAGCACTATTATTTTTTATTTGATGATAATAGCTAATTTAAGGAGCAACAAAAATATGTCATACATATTGAGAATTGTCAAAGTTGGATTGTTCAAACAATTTCTAATATTCGCACAATAGGGTGTTTTTATTTTTATGTGCATATTTCATCAACTTATTTGTATTTTTTTTAAATTTAATGTTAACATATTGTGTATGTTGGTTTACCCCAAAAATACTATATCTGAGAAAAGGAGTAGCCAGTTAATGTTTTTTAAAAGTCAATGACTTTATGTTTATAATTTATTATTATAATCACTTTTAATATTAGAATTTCCAAATTAATATAAAACACGTGTTTTAAAATGATTCTGTTGGTGCTTTATCAAAATTATGGACGGTTATTTGTGAGTCAATAGTTATAGTTGCGATGCACAGGTATGGTGGCTAGTTATTAACTAATTCACTTTATATAACAAGACTTACCATTTTAGAAATTAGTACACATTCTACATAATAAATATCATCTTTTGTTATAAAAAACGGTCGCCTACTTATTTTTCTCACACACAATCCCTAATGACGAAAGGTTAAAAAGAATACACAGCAGAGGTATATATTTATTATTGAATATAAAACCGTATTCTATTTACAAAACCTATTATGGTGCAATATATGGGCACTGAAAATGGCAGACATAAGATCACTGGTTTTTAGGAACTGTTTTGTATGCTAGGAACATATGTTTCAGAGTTGCATTGTATTGTAACTAAAATAAACTAAACCTAAGTCAAAAGCATTGTAATACAAGGTTGAAACACCAGTCCCTTGTCAAGTAATATTTATGTATTGATATATCAAGTAATACTTATAACTTAAATTCACAGGTATGTCAAAAATACGTGCTATGCACATCAGACTTGAAAAAATACAGTTTGAGTTTTTTATACTTGTCAACTACATTTCAGTTATGAAGTTAATGAACTCCAATAGTAAAAAAATCTCTCAATGTCTTGAGAAGAAAACATAGTAAACTTTGATTACAGCCTTTACTCACTAAATTAGTAGCATAATGTTCTAAAGAATACTTTTTACCAAAAGTGTTTCACCGAGTCAGCTTATTGGCACACCTTACATAATATGTTATCTACTTAGGTTTAACCGTTTTGCTGGCAGGAGGGGGTATTTTAGCGAACGCAGTCGAGTCAAAAACTGGCAGAAGATCCCTAACCCTTCCTCCTCCAGATGGTAAGTCCAAGTAGCGGCTGAAAAATATCATTTTCGTTTTTATATTAAATTGAGTAATTTGGAACCTCGATAACAAGACCCTCGATAACATGTAGCCCTTGATAACAAGGTTCATTTTTAGATCCCCTAGAATTTATTTTACCCCTAATCACATGTTATTGCAAACCTCGATAAGAAGTCAACCTTGATAACGTCTTATAACGACGTCTTGATAAGTCTTATTTTATAATCCCCATGAGAGTCTTGTTATCAAGGTTCTACTGTATTTACATATACATTGGTATAAAACCTTACTGTCCAAACAATTACGAAATAAGTTGTATTTTTGTGTATATGAAGTAAATACTACTAACTCGGAAATTGTATTTTAGCCGCCATCGTTATGCCAAAGCTAGTTGATTGGATAGCTGACCATTTATTGTGCTTGGCTGGCTATCACAAGGTAGCTGGTTCGATTTCTATATGGCTAGTAGCTTTTTGATCTACTAACTGGATCAGCTGTCATCGATCACTAGGGATTGTTATAAATAGTTATGGTTGATAAAACAGCTGGTACTCGTCAAATCAATTCAAATATATCTAATTGCCATCCCTACCTCATTTGGTAGTACCGTTGACTATCAATAGTGGTAAAATAGCTATTTACCTAACCCGCCATGTTAAACTTCCCTATCCCAAGCGTGATGTATACAACTTCCTTACTTCTCGAGTGATGTAAAGTTGAAAAAAACTCACTCGGTGATGTAATGAAACCCATTTAAATAACATTGAGTGAATAACTTAAAAAATATACCTCTATGGAGCCAACGACGTTCAACGCTAGAAATCAGCTGTGTGTTTAAATTTTATTGTTATGCTTTGAAGAATTTTCCTAACCTAGCTTTTGTTTGTAAATGAACGTTACTGTTATAAGATGAGTGAAAATGATAATGAAGCATATTGCTCGTACCTCCTGAATATTGTCGGGTCAGGTAAAAAAATCTTGTACGTTACACGTTACGCAAGAGCGTGTTTACATCACTTGGGTGAATTATGCAACTCGCTTCCGCTCGTTGCACAACATTCACCTGCGTGATGTAAAAACGCTCTTACTACACTTGTAATGTAAATAGCTATTACCTTACAAGTGTAGTAAGAGCGTTTTTACATCACGCAGGTGAAGGTTGTGCAACGAGCGGAAGCGAGTTGCATAATTTACCTAAGTGATGTAAACACGCTCTTGCGTATCGTGTAACGTACAAGATTTTACCTGACCCGACAATATACAGGAGGTTACGAACAATATTAATCATTATCCATTTCGCTCATCTTCTAACAGTAACGTTCATTTACAAAACAAAAGCTAGGTTAGGAAAATTCTTCAAAACATAACAATAAAATTCAAGAGCACAGCTGATTTCTAGCGTTGAACGTTGGCTCCATAGAGGTATATTTTTTAAGTTAATCACTCAATGTTATTTAAATAGGTTTCATTACATCACCGAGTGAGTTTTTGATACTTTACATCACTCGAGAAGTAAGGAAGTTGTATACATCACGCTTGGGATAGGGAAGTTTAACATGGCGGGTTAGGTAAAATAAGCTTTCGTCATACTTAAGCAAAAACAACCGGTTTTAATGCATACGTTGTGGGTCCAAAGTAGAATTTTTACTCTCTAGGGATTAAAAATCATTTTTAGTCCCTAGGGAGTAAAAATCAGCTGTTGTAAACAGTTGTAAATTTTGATTGTGGCAATCGTATCGATCAAAACTGTTTCTCGATTGATTTATTAGATAAGGTGTTAGCATATATTGTTGTCGATCACTCGACATATCGATGGTGTAATGTACTGTAACACAATCGTAATAGACGAAATGACTGAATCACTTACTAAATAGCTGCTCATTCGCATTAGCAGAATATTATCTCAAATAATTGATATAATTTATAATTGATCAAAATGAAGGTTAATCATTACAAAATGAATTTAGAGTAAATTTACATTAATATACTATACTATACTTGAATGGTTGCTTTGCTACAATAATTTTTTAATTTATATTTACAGTTTATTATTTTATCCACCATTAGAATGTAAACTTGTTAACGGTTAATTTATGGTTTAGGTTATATTGTATTTACACTTTACAATATTTGGTTAGGGATTAATAGTTGATAAGAATTTCCTTAAAAGTCAATCACAGCCAATTTTACTTTCGCGTTTAATAAGTGTTAACTCCTTTACCGAACCAAAGATTAGTAGTTTTAAATTTCACTGTTATAGTGTTGTTATGATATTATTGATCAAATTAAAATATTGCTAATTACATGTGGGAGTTAGTTAAAGTAATTGAACAATTCCGACCTATATCTTCTGTTGTTGGGATACCATACAGGTGGCAAGTATACGTTGCTGTAACAAAATTAAAACAAAAAAATAAAACATTTTATTTTATACCAAATGGTCACTTTATGAACTACAGTAGGGGTATTCAGCAAATAAATTGCTACAAACACAAACTGTTTTTAATATATACAAACAAATACTGGACTCAAAGGCACAGACTGGCAATTCTTTTGGACCAGATGAAATAATGTAAATAAACCCCACACATAAGTACTAAACCTATAAATGTAATATATTTTTTTCTGTTCATATACATGAGTATATGAAGAAAGTAATGTTTTCGTTAACACTTTTTGAGTTTTATGTGAAAACATCCTTTTTGGTCCCGCTGAACCCCAAAAAAGGGTTTTCAAAATCATGTCTGTATGTGTTTTTGGCTGTGTACAAAGATATAAACTACACATGTGATTCAATTTTTGATGCAATTCGATGTGTGGGTATTTTTGTAACCCACGCATTAAAAAAATGGATTTTAATGGCGATTTTACAATAAAATAGCGGAAAAATTGGATAAAACAATGCTTGAACGATTTAGAAACAAAACTTAGTATGGCGTTATGATAAATTTAAATCTGAACAAAATAGTACAACCTCTAACGCTGTAAGTATACAGTTCAACAGTTATCGTGATTTTACATGTAAAATATAGTTCTCACAGCTTACCCATTATGAGGGTTGTTGACAAGCCAATGGGAGAAAGTACATGGCAATTTACTGATACCGTTTAAATCAAACTGGAAACGGTTCACAAGGAGTCAACAGTTGGGTAAAACTTACTTACCACTCCTTGTGTTAGATTAAACAAATGACATTAACTCCACAGACAAACAGGATTCATTAGGCATCTTGCACATAGGATGAAGATTATAATTCTAAAAGACACAAACAATGAGCTCATGTCAAGTCGAGCCAGCCAAATAATGGCAACAAACCAAAGTTATAAATTGAACGTACTTTTGTACCTCCAACAGTATTTTTATCCTAGGAACTTACCCACTGCTACCCTTGCGTCCAGTGTTGCGGTACATGTTTGCAGTCGCCGCCTCCGTGGGGAAGAAGGTGGCCCCGTAGAAATCAAAACCATTGGTTATCAGGGAGTTGTACTCGTCGATGGACGCCAATGTGATTCGGACGATTGGCGGAGGCGAAGTACCCAAGATAGGCCCTGCCTCCGATCCAGACGTGTTTCCTGAGGCAGTTCCTTCGTTCCTTGCTACCTTGTCGAGAGCCCTGGTGCTGCCTGTGGCAACATCATGTATTGATCATTTGTTGGTTTTGATGCAAATATCGAGAGTAGACGAAGTACGTAGCTCTGAATCTAAGTTTGACAAAGCTCTTCCATCTTGATTTCTAGCCATTTCTTTCTAAAGCTATCTTGCTGTCTAATCGTTACTCAGACGAATTTATTGGAAGTGTGAAATAAGAAAGGAAGAGATAAAACACCTAAGGTAGATACCGTATCTTTACCTGACATGTTGCCCGAGCCTGTAGTTCTCTTTCCTGAAGGTAGATACCATATCTTTGCCTGACTCGTTTCCCGAGCCTGTATACGTGTTCCTGGCTACATCATCTAAATCTAGGGTGCTGATAGTGATACCAGGGAAACTGTATAGAACGTGACACAGATAATGGGGAATTGTAAGTTGGGTACCAATGTAGGGAAAACATAATGGACCAAAGTGTTTCTAAAAGTAGTGCAACCCAGATTCCTGATCAACTTGTTCCATATTGTCGAAAGCTCCAGTGCTACCTGTGACAAAACATGTATTATGAGTGACACAAGTGCAAAGAAGAATAACTAAGATATGAACAACCCATCTCTGTACATGACCCGTTGGTTGAGGCAGTGCCTACGCCGTTTCTAGAGCTTTTGTGCTAACTGTAAGAACAAGACCTGAATGTGGCACAGGGGTACGTAAGCCATGCTCTCTCTGTAACCTGAAGCAATTCCCAATAGATTTGTAACCAACCTTAGCTAAAGCCTACGTTCTGCCCGTGACAATATGGTACCTGCAGGATATGTGACACAGATGATAGAAGGAGGTGGTGAATCTAAAGTACATGTGAGGACCACTCCTTTAGCGATACGTGATTTCCTAAGCCAGTATCATCCTCATTTCTAACCACCTCGTCTAAAGCTGTAGAACTGCCAGTGATACAACAAAAACCATGGGATATGTGGCACAGATGATGGAAGAAGGTAAAGTACCAAAGCTAGAACTTGTCTTTGTACCTGATATTTTTTCTGATGCAGTACCAAATTCGTTCCTGGCCGCTTTGTCAGGAGCTCTGATGCTGCCTGTGACAAAATAGGACCTTTATCAGTACAGACACACACGACCAGAACTGTATGAGCTACACAGATGATAAGATAAAAACATAAGAGAGGACCTCTCTTTGTACCTGATATTTTTTCTGATGTAGTACCGAATTCGTTCCTGGCCGCTTTGTCTAGAGATCTGATGCTGCCTGTGACAAAATAGAGGGCCTTTATAAGTATAGACACAAGACCAGTTCATGAACTGTATGAGTTATACATATGATAAGATAAACACATAAGACCTGTCTATGTGCCAACTTGATATCTAAGGCAGTGAATCCTCGTTTCTAACAACCCTCTTAAGCTCTAGTACTACATGAGACGAAAGAGGATCTGAAGGTTTTGGAACAGAGATATTGTAATGGAGTGAGGTAGGATACTTAGGGTAAGCATTATCTATGAGCCAAACATGTTCCTTAAGGCAGTGCAAACTCGATTTTTGACTCATTTACTTTAAGCTCTAGTTGGTAAATAAGAGTTGTAGGATATGTTGTGTGAAATGGATGGCTGGAAAAAAAAAACTAGGGATAGGATGTCTTTTACCTGGCCTTTGGCCTTAGCGGGCGTTTTCCATCACAACTAAAGCTATGGTGATACAGCAGAAAACATAGAATATGTGACACAGATTATAGTAGCAGTGAAGAACCAAAGGTAACTAGCGTTGGGTTGCTTATTTGACGTCATTCCTAAGCCAGTGCCTTTCCTTGTTCCCCACCACCTCGTCTAAATCTATCTCACTGCTGATAACACAACCAAGCCAGATCAATATGTAATATGATAATAAAAGAAGGTACCTGATGGACCTAGGGTAAGCTAGGACCTAGCTTAATACCTGAAATGTTGCTTGACGCAGTGGAACCCTCGTTCCTGGCCACTTTGTCAAGAGCTCTTGTACTACCTAACACAAAACATTTCGTCATAATGATACACATCAAGGGAAGGTTAGCAAACATTACACCTTTCAAATGATCTCGTAGAGGCAAAGCTTCTTCCTAAGTGGAACAGAAGTGGTATGGATCATGGACATAAAAAAATGACGTCACTGGCCCGAATCTTATACTAAAATATTCAAGCATTAATTTCAATAACCACCATCGATATATAACTACCATAGTTCTCATTTTATCCTACTCTGTCAGAATTTAACATATGAAACTTAAAAATACAATAGTATTCTTTTGTAAATACAACTTCCATTAAATTGGCTTACAACTCAATCGTCCCCAAAACGAGAACGTATATTCCAGTAGCAATCTAAACATCAACAATTATTAATTAAAGTCGTGCCATGTTTTCCCAACGGCGAATGTGTAGGAGTTGAGCGTGTGAGCTTAAGAAGTAATTAAGCGCTCGGGACTTCGGTTGCATTAATTCCACAATTTGTAGCTAAGCGCGCCTTAATTGCGCGCTATATCAGTGGCTGGACCGCGTCCAAGTTGTGGCTTTCGGCTACACAACTTCATTACAACACTAAGCCCGATGTGGGGTCAATTTTTGAAATGCGTTAGAAGAAAAATATAGCCGTACATGTTAAATTGTTAAGTAATTGTCTAACATATCTATATATTAATAGGCAAGCATGTTTAAACATTTGTTCTCACATCGTGCGTATCACATGGAGAATCAACGCATACTGTTGGAAAGATATTTTCCTGTAGATGTTTAGGATCCCTTCATAAATTAAAATAGGCTTAAAAATAATCACAAAAAATGAATTTAAAATTTTAAAAATGAACATGGACCCTATGCTGGTGACGAAATAACAACGCAATATACAGTAAATCTAAAAAAATAAAGAAATTCCAATCACATGTTGTATTTACAGCGTAAGGTGAAACAAATTCAGAAAGCTGTACATTATTTATTTTTGGTCGATCTTTTGACCCCTGGACGACCTCTAGTTAAAAAGAAAATTACAAAAGCTGCTGACTAAAAAAACATTACCGTACATCGCCTTCATGATGAATATTTTATCTCTCAAATAATAAAACCTATAAATTTCTAGGTGAATTGTTGAATCATCATAGAAGTGAAATTTTCTACCATGGATTATCATGGAATTCACTCTACAAGAAAGTGCCCAATAGTTCTACAGATATTTATTTTTTACATACAAGTACAAAAACTGTTATAAAATAACTTATAGTTTATAAGTGCTAAATCTGGAACTACTCTAGAATGTAATTTTGGAATTCTAATATTAAAGCTGTAAAATGAATACGTTTGTTGCTTAACTAAATTGTCCTTGCTATTCGTTAGAGGAATACTTCTTTTATGGTGTATAACTTTAAAAGTTTTTGGTTGGTAAGGGACAGTATCTGAATGTAAGGACATATGACAGGAGATCCCTCAAGAAGGTAAATGGGACAACAACTGCTATGAAAACAACACAATGAAAATGTACTAAACATTCTATTAAAAAATGTAGGAATGATCGAATAAATATTTGAATCAATTTTACGCAGAGCTGAATTCCAAGATTCGTTAAACAATTTTAGGGACCCTCTTTCTTTCTAGGAAAGTTTTTGAAGTAAAACATTTCTCATGTGATGAACACGATTCCAGTAATAAACACAAATTAATAAAAAAATCTATCTTTTTAGCATCTTGATCCTAAAGATTATCAATACATAAAAAGGAAAGTTTACAGTTGTATGCTTAGTGAGTGGATCATTAAACATCATTCTCAATAAAATAAACATTCTAGTGTTGATGCTATTATCATTGACTAAGGAAATTTGCCTTGTCTTTGCTATTATATGTTATTTATATTCTAGTATCCAAAAGTGAATGTAGAAGAATCTTCTTTCCCTGAAGCCTCTTTTATTACCGCACATTTTCCATCACATTCTTACAATACATTTTAAGATAATGCCACATGGAAATTCTACCAGATAAAATGACGCCACTTACCCTGTTGGCCACCAGCTGAGGACAGAGAAGTTCCACTGCCACTTGCCACAACCCCTCCCTGGAGTCTGCAGACCTCCACCACGGAGGAGTATTTGTACAACGCGTGTCTGATGTCCTCCTCCGGCACCTCGTCCGGCACCTCCAGCACAAACACCACGAACGTCTTCTGAGGCCGACACGGGATCGGGATCTGGAACGTGTAAGAAGTTGTGGAGAACCGTTTTGGTTTGGCGTGAATGAAAAAAAGGGTACGAAAAAAGAGCAAGAATCGGACTTCCCATCCCCTGACTCCGTCTGTTTTTGTTCACCCTCAAAGACAAAATGTTTTGTGCACATTAAATTGACTTGGGTGAAGCGCATTTTCTTAAAAGAGTCAGAGGTTACTCTGTATTGTAGACATGAAGTTGTACACGTTGTTACACCTTAAATTGACATTTTTATGGTTTTCAGTCCTTAGACTACGTACGATATGACAGTCTATTGTAACGGACAGTTTAGGTTAACATAATAAGTGTTCAGTTATTGTCTCAAATGTCCATCAAGTGGAGAAATATGTAGGCCCTACCCCTACCAAGGCCCCAGTAGTACAGTAAAAATATGTTAAAAAATAGTACAAGCAAGGAATTTGGTACAGATGTTGGATATACCTTCCTTTTGAACATAAAGTCCCCAAATATTGAATCTGTGGAAATTCCAGGAAATGGAAAATGGCGGAATATTTTGCATTTTTGACTATAGTGGCTTTATAATTAGATATACAGGAAAAGGTTTTGTACACAAACTGTAGTTCGTCAAAAAGTGCAAATTTCATCTTCTAAACCCAAAGTTTTTTTTATTTATATGTGATTAAGTATAGTTATTTTTTTACTTATCAAAAATAGGTACTGGTAGGAATATTCAACGTAGAACCTGTATTTGTACCTGATATTTTTTCTGATGCAGTACCAAAATCGTTCCTGGCCGCTTTGTCAGGAGTTCTGATGAGGTATACAGATGATAAGATAAAAACTTTATATAGTATAGTATATAATATATTTGTATATATATACATATTTGTATAGTATACATTAATACTTTTAAATGAAATGGTGACCATACAAAGTAAGTATTTTAAGCCAAGTATGAATGGAGATGATAAGAGTAAGATAAGTAGCTCGATCTTGTAGTCTTGTTAGTGACTAAGGCCGACATATTCCTTAGACACAGCTGTAATTAATAGCCCATACAGTTAATGATAACTAAGGGACCTACATATAGTGGAATCCGAATCCCATCTTTGCCTTGGTATTAACAAATTGGTCTAATTATGATATACGGATCACCAATAATAATCTATATAAGATTTACCAAACTCTGGTATTAGTACTACCTGAAGGGAACCTTTTAGGAAAAACCAAAATTAATTTATGATTTTTATCAGATTGTTCTAATTTTGTTATCAATGGTGTTTATATTATTTTACTTTAGTAAATGTTATGTGTAAATGTATTCGGCAATGCAGGATTTATATGACAAAAATGTCTATATAAGAGTAAATAAAAGCTGACTTTGAGCTCCCATTTATAATAATGGAATACATTAACAATATATATTTACATTATTATAGTAGTCAAATAAAATCAAGTCAATGATTATACGTTTTTTCACTAACATAGGCTTATTTTCTGCTCTCTGTATTGTCTTGGGTAAAGCGTGTTTTCTAAAAAAAGTCATAGTTTACTTGTCTATAAGTATAATAGACATGAAGTTGTACACGTTGTTACACATTAAATCAACGTAGATGTATTAATTTGTAAAAAGCTGAAGCAACATTTTGATTTCAAATACGGGTCTTCACTAATCGAATAAGTAAATATTACTCATGGTAAAATGAAAACGCGTTTAATCGTTAGTGGGGATTCCTTACCACAACAGTTAAATGTTAACTGGCAGTACATTTATAAATATTGTCCAGTCTATTTAATTGGTTCATTTCACTATATGTTTGAAATATGTTAAAATATGTTTGAAACTATAAATATTATAGACGACAAATAAATTACTAGTTTTGAAGCAATCAAGGACTAATTAAAACACTACAATACAAACAACCCTCTAATTTACCACTGCACTATTGTAATGAACCCATTCAGCTAAAATTGTAAAAAGTGGAGTTAAAAGTAAAATATTTTAAATTATTTTATTTGACAACTAAGACTTAACCTTATTAGTATAGTTACTCGTACAGTATAACCAGAAGTCGGGATTTATATGCAATAGAAATGTTTGAAAAAGTAATAGTTAAATTAAATATAACTTCAAGCATATTCTGTTTCGTAGTTTTTGATACGAAATTATTTAACAACATTTTATTAACAAATTTAATTATTTTGAGATAAAGGTAAACTTAACCTTTTCGTCTCATAACTCCTATTAATCTCCATTAATTTAAGATTTTCTAAGTTCCCTTGATTAGGAGTCTTATAGGGATGGAATATTTAAGAAGGAACGAATACCAACAAAATATTTGTTTGAAGACCCCTTAAAGATTCTTGTTATACTTTGATTTCTTTGATAGGATCCATTTTGCATGGTTTCCAGTCCTTATGGTAAGAGTTTTAGGAGTTGTTATTGCAGTATACTATTTTTATAAGCAGATGATATATGATAAAAGTGGTACGATTGAGAGTTATTCAATTTGTTTATTTTATCACTCCAGCAATCACATTGCAAGTTTTTTCATTACTGTTGCAAGAAAGCTTGTATATAAATAATCTAACTTTTTCGATTAAATAAATTTTAATCCAAGTACATTAACAATGTTCAACCGATTTCTCTCCTATTTCCTTTTCAGCTACAGAACCTATTGAATGTAAGAGACGTTTTGTATTGTATTTTGAGCTATATGAATCGAACTTAAATATGAATCACTTTGAATTTGACAAGACTGGCAATAAAATAAAACATTTAAATATTGATCAAACAACATGACTTTGTGGTCTTTTATACTACCTATTTAAATTGAACAGCTTTCAGTTAGAAATAAAATATATAGCATATAAGTATTGATTACTATGAACTCAATATAAAATGTTTGTAATTAAAAAAAGTAATTGAAATTAGTGGGAAAGAGAAAAACGTGACGTATTAAATAGGAATTAGCAAGTTGATATATAATTTCAAACGGCTTATCCAACGATGAAGTAATGAATATCTGAAGTAATACTCGCAGGTGTAACCTCATCAGGTTGGTTATGAAGCACATGTTAATGGGTAATAATTATGTTAAAATATTATAATGGCGATTGATATAAACTTAGACTTTTTGGGATTATCTATTGATTATAACAATACATGTATCCATTTATAATATAAAAGAAGATACAACTTTGGATCCTTGAATAGTATAGCTTTCCTCCAATATCCTTTTAAAATTTTACAAAAACAATAATTTGAAATTACATTGAGTTCTTAGTAAAAATTATTTTTACATAAGAATCTAACACGATTCTCATTTCACACGATTTTCTAAGTAAAACTATTCAATCAGAAAACATTGGTTTAACTCTTAAACATTTATTCCTCCACCACTATTTTATGTTGTAAACCTACCATGTTTAGTTTATGTTGTAAGGGTTCCTATGGTTTTTTAATAAATAGTAGGTATTAAATTTGTGGGGCGGACTCAGAGCCCCGGCACGTCAACTTATTGTCGCTTATTGTGCTTGAGGTATTTAAATTACTTTAACACATTTTTTGTAAAGTGTCCAATATATTAAAAACTGAAACTACTGCTTCATCAACTAAACTAGTTATTGAAATTTCAACTTATATAAAACCTATTTACTCACCTTTTTGTAAAACCTAGCTCCCGTAACTTTATGAAAGCCCTTCTTGAAAGTCGCTTGGTAGTCGTCCATTTCGGCAAACTTGAACAATATCCCAGTGGCGGTCTTCGTCAGCGAGTAGGGCCCTCGGAAGTTCATCTTCTCGCAGATCGCCGACGCCTTCTCCATGTTCAGCTCGTTGCTGGGGGTCAGCAGGAAGGCGCCCTTGGTGAGGAAGTTCTCGCCGTCGGACAACTCAGAGTCCGTGTCGTCCTGGTCGCTGGGTTGCCGAAGGTCGCAGCTGGAAGCCTTCATGGCGCTGCCTTTGCTGCCTGCACTGCCGCTCTTCATGGAGGGACTAGGCGTCTCTCGCGGTGCCTCCGCCACCTCTTCCACATCCGCTGACATCAACGCTGTCTCTGACTCCTCCTCCCCCGCACTCGACATTTTTGTACCGATTGCGTTGTGAAATTTAAATAACCAGCGGGGCGGGTCCGGGCACCTCCCTGTACTGTTCTATGTTTATATGTTAAGTCACGGTCGCTGGGTCTTTAGGTTTTTTGGCATTTAGATTCAGGTAGGCCACATTTAAGGTTATGAAAGGGGAAACCTTTATTTGATTGTTGATATCGTATACATTTAAATAGCATTATTATCGAACTGAAAATTATTAAGAGACGTATGTAGCGTTAAATGTTTTTACAATTTTTGGTCTTGAAGTAATTATCTATCTAAATATAAGAATTCATATCATTAGGTCAGTAGCTTAAAACATGTTTAAAGCATTGTATTTTTTAATAACACCAAAGAAGAGTTTTCCTAAACACATAGCTTGTCCACGCAATTTTAAATCAATAACAATACTATTAAACATAAAAAAGTGAAATCGACCAGCCAAAAACAAACATAAAATTTGTATTATGGCGTTCACAAAAATAGCCTCGCAACCGACATGTCTGGCTGTCTATTTGTTACCGGATATTGAAAGCCCTCGAACAACGCTGGTCCTGACAACAAATCAGAAAACCATCCGACCTCTCTAATGCCTCACTGATTGGCAGTGTCGTTATATATTTTTTAAATCTTAAGAGATTGAATTCCGATGTTTAAGCTCCATAAAAAAGTTGTTTTAATATCAATGGAGGCAAAATACAAGTATTATACCAACTCTTGCTAAAAATGGGGATGAGTTTTATACCTTCAAATACATACGCGATACTTCAAAATATAAATCCATGCATACATCACACTGTATATCAAAATACTAAAATTAACTAAATCAATTTTGATTTTAATTAAAGGCACATATTTTCAAGACCAACAACTTTTAATTTTAGTGTGCATCTCGAACACATTAAAGCATCTTGATATTCAGTATGTTTGTAATCCCTACTTTTAGGTTATAAATCATGACATGAGTCATAACTTAATCAGTTTTATTTTATTGTATTTATTGGTCATTAGAAAGAGTTATCTATAAATATAATTTCCTCTTCCTCTGTTGGACCCATCGTTTGTTTTCTTGACAGGATGACCTAGAGTTCAAGAGAACTATGATCCAAGAAGGTTCAATCACATAATCTGAAACGATTGTGAATAATCGTGATTGGAGGGAATTGAACCCCAGGCCTCAAGGACAGAACTATAGCACTTTCCTCTAGACCAGCTTTTTCGGTTGATATAATTACATGAGTTTTTCACATCATTTATTAAACTATTTAATTGTAAAGTTATAATTTCAAACAGTTCTTTTAAATTCACCTATCATTTATTATATTAGGTTATATAAGTGCCCTATCATATTATGTTATCTCACACCACACAACATGTTAGCCATCAAATTTCTCATAGTATGAATTGATTAATTTAGTTCTAGTAATACCTAATGGGTATTACTAGAACTAAATTAATCAATTACTACTACTACTATTGAACATTGTTGTTACCGTAAAATAAATAAACTCCTTCCAGGGTTTAACTATGGAATTTAATACATAAGTTATGTATTGAAACGTCATCAATCATATTATGACTATAAATAATTTAAAAAAGACAAGGCTTGAAAATAAAAATATTAAGTTCCGAAGCTAGTTGCCTGAGACTAAAAATATTGACGACTAGGTGCGTACCCTAGTTTTTAATCCTCTTGACGATTCCATAGAAAGAACCTACTATTTTATAGTTAAAAATGTAATCGAGACTTTCAATTAATACCTAAACTAACCTCACTAACATTGTTAACAATATGGTCAACGTGATTATATTTAAAAAATTTCCATAATTAGGTAATCAATAACTATTAATTGCCTTTAATATTTTTCTCAAGAAAACTTCAATATGGTTTTCCTTTCAAGACAACCTCCACAGACGGGTGAAACAATACCTTCATAACCCCCTGTTGTGTGGCACGCCCCTGATAATAGGCATCGTTAGGCTGTATTGTCTGGCACAGGCTCAGTCTTACCTTAATGCTTCTGTAGCACGGAGATAAGACAGCTTAACCAACAAACAACCGGCAACCGGCAAGGAGCATTTCATTGTTTAACTTTCATTGCACCCTTAACCACTGACGTAGGCCCACTTACAACACCGAATTGAACAAATAGGTTTATGTTTAGGTTTTTAGTGAATTTCCCATATTTCATGGTGAGATCTTAACCCGGGACCACTTTAGTTTTGCCTTTTAATGTTCGAAGAGGCCAAAAATGTAATCCGTTAAATGAATACATACACATATAAATACACAAACCTGATACATATATAAATACACAAACCTGTTATAAATATTAACCCAAGATTACTCGAGTAAAACTTATCCTATTTATTTGAGTATAGGAAAAACGTCTAATTCAGTACCAAGTTTATTTAAACGAGTTCGCGAACCAGCATGATCGGACCATGGAAACGGGGTTTAACGGGCTAAAGATTATTTTTTCCTACTTTGATCCTCAAATAAAAACATCAGAGTCTCTTTCCAAACAATTTTGTAAAGCTAAACAAATAATGTAGTATATTGAAGCTTCGTTGTACGTCTATGGTTACGAAGAAAATCCCAATACATTTATTTCTCACAAAGCTATAAAAAAATGGTACTTTGGTATTGTACCGAGCACACCTATAAATCGAATTCCAAATAATATTTTCATTAGTTTTAGTACCAAAATCTCTCTAACCTAACCTAACCTAAAACATAGTCCACCCTTAGGCTAGGTTGTATTTATTAGGTGTGGTCGGTATAATACCAAAGTACCAAAAAACACACCTAATGACATTCATTGTAGCAGCAAACCTTAAAACTTACTAAACCTAAAGTTATACGAATGGGAAATATAATATGACTAAGGGAAGTTTTCAGTGAAAATCTGATCAGGAAAATGGAAATTCGCGTAGTCAGCAGGTTTGCTGGGGCTGGGGTATTTATATGTATTTTTCTTAAACGCTTGTCAAAAGATATTATCACGCATGATTTAGAGTAGGTCCAGTAAGAGAAGTTGTCACAGTGATCTATTGTTGGATTGACTTTTAAACACGGGCTTTCAGAACCTCAGGGTTTAGCTACTCCACCGTACTGCACTGCAGTCATCAGAAGCAAGCTGGTCTAGTGATCGCAGGGCTTCGTTCCTTGAGGTCCCGGGTTCAAATCCCGCCAATCACCAATGTATATGGGCCTTCTATGCCCAAAGTGAAGTAATGTGTCAAATAGTTCCGGGCTAGACTCTGGTTAAGGTGGGACAGTGAGAACTACAGTCGTCGTGGAGGATAAATAGATCGCTCTAATAAATAACGAGACTTGACGAAATAAATAACATTTCTTTCAAATACACTGAAATGTAAGAGTATTGTTGCAAAATACATAGTTAAACACATTTTGCATTGTACTCTTTTATAAGATATACTTTATGTTTTGGGTGTATTCATTGTACACAAGACTCAGTTACACATAAATATATTCTATATTCTTTAAAATAAAATACTTTAGCCTACTATTAAAACAACATCTTATCACACAATATCTTATTATATAATAATGAACATACTGCTCAATGTTTAATAGACAAATGTTTTTAAACAAATTATTCGTTTAAGACAAAATTGGACCCAACAATAGTTTACAAAAGTAATTTAATATTATTATGCACATATTTAGATTGTGATTATTGCGAATATGTAAATTTAAAAACCAAACAATTTTTCAAGAATTAAAATAGGTAAATTTCACGTTAAGAAGCTTATTTTTCAACCCCTCAAATTTCTAAAGAACACTTGTAATTCTTTTCACTCTTTAGTACGGATAACATCTTTACTGAAACATCCGAGACCATACGTCTTCACGTCTTCGTTGCATTCAAGACTTGATAAATCATCTCTCCATTTACCCCAACACTTAAGCCTCCGTCAGATCCTTTGACCTATTTTCCCCAACATCCATTTCTATTAAAAGTGGATTACGCCCTTGAAGATGTATTTGCTTTTGAGGCTCAGGCCATTAATAAAGTTGATAAATACAATGGTCTATTTGTAAAAGGCGCCGGGTAATAGGGTGAGAGTCTCCACCCTTCCTGTATAACAGGGTGGGGCTCGACACCTTGGATATAACTCAGCTGTTGACGAAATAGTGGCCAACTCGTGTGGCCATAGTAGTGGTACAGTTAGACACACTCCTGATATGATAATGATTTTATCTGCAACACCTTTTTCACTACACTATTATGTTTTTAGCTGTTTTACATCCAACTGATTTTATGATTATGTTGTAATTTTAAAGATTACAATATCGTGGAGTTACACGTTTTAGGTACAAATGGTAACTAAAAAGGTGATTTGTTTAGAACGAGCATTTGATATGTTTCTGTTTCTGTTTAATATGAAAGCATTTGATATGTTTCTAGAGTATGCATTCAAAGCAGCGATGAACTATTTGCATCATAAATGTCTCAAAAAACATAATCTTTGAAAAGGTTAAAGGTTTTGAATTATTTGTTTTGCCTCGTAAATGAAGTGCGAAAACTATTTCAGATGGGCAATTTGCCCACGGGTTCCGTTGTTATTACTAATTGATTTACACTACACAGTTTTAAAAGATTTTTAAAATTTCACTTCGTTGGTTTTTTAACGCCTCGTTCCCGATATCGTTTGTTTCCAATATTTCTCGTTCACTTATAGAATGAATAGTAAGTAAAATACTAGCCATAATTGTAAATTTCTCACAAAATATGATTGATCTCAAAATTGAGCTTTTAATCTTCAAATTTGAACTATATTTCTCTAACTACTCTGGTATGCAGTACCTTCAACGGCTTGTTTAAACAATTATGTACTACAAAAAGTTATCTTTCCCAACAACAGAAAATTACTGGTAATTGAAGGATTCAAGTTATGGATATCACTTAAATTAAGGCACTATAGAAGAACACAGAACATATA